TATCAATAGTAGTTCGAGGTGAAAATTGAGTTTGATTAACATCAAGTTGTTTAATATCTGTCATATTATTATTCGAAAGGAATCGTAGTACAGTATTTATACATGTTGAATCCAAAAAAACATTCAAGTGTCGATTGAAGAAGTGATTCAATGGCATAACATCCAGCTACAAATCCAGGTACATTGACTATAAGTGACATCGAAGATGTATAGTCACCTTTAGTATCATAAGCAAATAAATCAAAAAAACCACATACTGATGATGAACAAGTAGATTGTAAACCACAATAACATATTGTGTTATTATTACTAGAGTAAAAATTCTGAATTGCATATGTTGCTGTTTTACCATTCGGAAAAATATAGAATCCTAAATATGATGAAGTTCGTAAAGCTGTTTGCAATTGATTAGTAAACGTTGTACTACGAACTAATTGAAGTAATTGTCGAAAAGCATTGCTCGTTAATGTTTGTATAAATGAACTTTGTGCTTGACTTTGAAGATCAAGTAAATATGATGAAAGAACAACCGGAGTCAGAAAAACATTTGAAAGAAAATCATCAATTGTATCATTAACAAATCTTTTAGAAAGAGAACAAAATGAAGAAAGTATTTGGAATTGACCACTTGCAGATGAACGAAAATCAAGTGGATAATAATAACTTATATTCGGATTAAATAATATATTGATCCAATTATCAGAAACGAAGATACTTGAACAAACTGGATGATATTCTGGAATTATTGAAATAAATGAACGATATCGAATGGCAATATCCGTGCATGGACATGCTAATGTATTTGGATATTTTCGATAAAGATTTTCGAAATCAGATTGAGTTGGATTTAGAACGATAATTGTTTGATTTTGATCATTCAACGCCGAATAAACTGTAAGAATGGTGAGAGTAAATGTTAATAATATAATAAAGATACGTGTTGATATAATGGCTTTTCGTAAATCAAGTTCTTCTGAACGTGTCATTTCAACTTCGAATAAATTCATTTGACTGATCGTTTGTTTTATCCATTTGGCAATATTCATAATAGTTTCCATCATTCTCTAGAATAATTGAGAAAAAAACTGTCATTTTCTAATGGTGATATTCTCCTATTTAAATAAGTGTTATTTCATTCTTTCTACTCACAGCTAATATGGACGTTATCGTCAAAAGCACTTAGTTAAAAATTAAATAAGTCAAGAATAACGTCTACTAGCAATCTAGGGTTTTCGAGAAAAGAGAAATGAAAAAAAATCATTGTTGCATGCAAAATGTGATGATGTTTATTTTATCCATCAAGGCCACAAAAGAAATCATTTTTGATAAAACAAAAAAGCATTGGTTTCAATCAGTAATCTACGAAATTATTTTCTGTTTTTACATTTGATTTATTATGCAAATGTTTCATTGAATTATTACACAAATGTATGGTACTATTATCCTTTGTTTCATGTTTATATCTAGTTTGATGTTTATATTGGGTTGATGCAAAATTAACGACCGTTTTTATTGATTCTAAAGGGTGTGGGTGTGGATGTGGCAATGGCAATGAGTTCAAAGAACAGTCACACCCACATCCACACCCACACCCATCTTTTTGAAGCTTTCCTACTAATAATTTTTTTTTGTAAGACATATGTTGATAGAAATAAGAAATTATGTCGTTTTGGGTGCTGTCATTTCTCTTCATTGTTGTAAAATTTGTTGCATAATTTGATATTAGCAAAGTTAGATCATCATTGACGCTATACTCTTTTCAACTTATCCGAAAATGTATTTAATAGTTAGTTCAAAAACAGAACTAATGCACGAAATTTATTTTACTTAATTAACGTCTTAGATATAGAATTAATTATAAAATAATTCTACAATGGTCTAGAAATTCGAATTGATTTCTTGGGCCATTCTTTATCTACTACTTTCTTTTTAAACATTTCAAATATTAAAAGTTAATTTTCTTTAAAACATGAAAGATGTTTCTTCGCAGAAAAAATTTCTGATTAATTTAGCTAGCACAGTCATTTTGAAAATTGGATTTCTACTCGACTTATTTTACTTCGAAGATCGTTCTAGAAGAACATTTATTAATACAAATTTTTTTTTATTATGCAAAACGAGTCATGACTGCTGTCTCATTCTTTATTTTGTATATTTGTTTATTTTTTTCTTTCATCTAATTTTGCGTCTGTATTCTTCACAGATATTTGATTTTGTTCAAGATAAGATTCTTCTTTGGAGAATGTGTCATTAAAATTCAAATTTCGTTTTTAGTAAACTTCAATGTTTTATAGAAACGACGATGAAATGTATATTATTGTAATTTAAAAAAACAACTTATTAAAAATTTTTTTCAATCCAATCAAATTCAAAATAGTGAATATAATGTTTTCACAGATGAAAAATACTTACGGCTAACCAAAAGTTCTAAGCCCGGTATTATTTTACTGTAGAGTAAGCTTTAAAAAGTATCTTTGTGTATAGTCTTCGAGAGAAATGAACGCTCTATTTTTCTATGCTAGTTGATAATACTCCAGTTAATATCATAATAAGAAATTTTCGAAAAGACTTTTTTTCGTTATCATTTGTGCATGTTATATTAGTTCACAATGGACAAGTTGATTGCCGAATACTTTGTTTGTTTGAAAACAAAACAATGCAACTATAAAATAAGTAGTCCTACGTAAACTGTCGAGCTTTGCACCCTGCATCCTATGGTATATTGTGCTTGTAAATACAATGCATGAAAAGATTGAAAATTAATCTATCTCACCCGTTGTGAACTAATATAACATGCACAAATGATAAAGAAAAAAAGTCTTGTCGAAAATTTCTTATTATGATATTAACTGGAATATTATCAACTAGCATAGAAAAATAGAGCGTTCGTTTCTCTCGAAGACTGTACACAAAGATACTCTTTTAACGCTGACTCTACGGCTAAATAATACCGGGCTTAGAACTTATAGTTAGCCCTAAGTAATATCGGAGGAAATTGATTAACATAGACAACATAATAACAAGGCACAAACTATTTGGAAAATGTGAACTCAGAAAAAAAAGAAAAGTTTTTATACACATTAGGAAGATCATAATTATAGATTGATGGAAGTAACAGAAGACAAAAACCTAGAATGAAAAAAAACGTCCACAACATAGAAAATTTTTTAATTATTAAAAAAAGAAAAAGAAAGGAATGACTGGCGATTTTAAAAAGAATTATGTTGCACATAACTATACAGATCATTTAGAATATGTAGCAAATTTTATTTTATTTTTCGCTATGAAAAAGTCCGATTATATGAATGAACTAAATATTATAATTAGGTTATGAAATTGTATATTGAAAACTTTTTTTTGATTTCTTAATATTGATAAAATAAAAATTAATTTTTATTTTATATTTATATTTTTTTTTGTATTGAAGAAATTTTCTATGAATCAATTAATTCATTATACCAATCAAATCATTGAATTCTCTTCATTAGAGGAATAATTATAGAAGATATTTTCAATTCTTGGATAATTTTAAAGATCAGATAAATATTTAATTAAGAAAAATATTTTTAGATAGATTTATTTAGGTAGTTAATAAATGGACTGTTTATGATCACATTAACTCTTTGAATCTTTTTTTATGAATTCTATTTATTTTAATTAATGTCTTCGATTAAATTTGTTTTCTTTTCTTTAAATAATCAAATATTAATATTCAAGAATTTGATAGTGAAATGAATTTCATTTAAAAATTTTAAAGTGATACAAGTTTTTTCTTTTTGTTTATCTTTAAAATAGATGAGATTTAATAAGAGAAAATTCTCTAATCTTTATTAATAAATTAAATCGAAGAATAAAAGTTAAGAAAATTTAATTTAATTACTAAAATTCAATAAAATAATAAAAAGTGAAAAGATTTAGTATTTTAATGTGTTTTTTATTGAATACAAACAATTAATCTTATTATTATTGATTTACTCTTTTTTTTCTAAGAAAAATAAATATATAAATATGAAGAATAATTTATAAAATTGATTCAATAAATATCATATTAAATTATTTCAGTTTTATTATTTAAAAAACAATTAGTTATTATCAATATGATAGAAATACTATTATAGATTGCCTACAACTGCTTTTTTCTTTAAATTCATTTTGATGAATTTGAGACAGATTATGGCTTTTCTTCAACTTAACCAATTTATTCGAAACGATTTGTGCTTCATTACTTCTGTGTATTCAAATTGAATTATATTCATTCATCATTTTCGTTATCATAATAATAGATTGACAATATTTATTTATATTTATGTTGCTTATAAATAATCAAAAACTTTTATTTGTTTGACAATGCTTGCCGAAATTATATACATAGATGAAATAATACTACTAGAAATAAATCAACAAGAATTAATATTTAAAACTTTTAATTTGGCAATGATTATAAATAAACACATCTTTTCAATTTCATTGCAGAGAAAATAAAATAGTTTATATTTCCTTAAAAAAGAATGTAGTAGAATTATTATTTTTCTATTAAAATAATTTAAATCTAACTTTTGAGATGAATTATATTTTAGGGATTATTATAATGAACTGTGTCATCTTTCTATCTACATATCTTATTGATTCTTTGATTCAATGAAAACTATGATATGAGGAAATTCTACTTTTATTCTAACATAAGTATTGATTAGTAGCTGATCACAAGAAAAGAATCATTTAAAGAAAATATATGATTAACAAAGTGAAAGCATTAATCAAATTATTCAGTAATAGTATATAATCGAAATCAGTCTATTCTATTTTATTTAACATGTATAACTTTACTACGACGTGGATTAACTTGTGCTGCATTTAATTTAGTTAATTATTGTCCATTAATATCAAAGTTTTCTGGGTTTAACCATCTTTGTAATTCTTTTTTTTTCAGGCCATTCATCATCAATAATACTAAACCATGCATTGTCTCTTGATCGACCTTTATATACACATGTTTTTAACTATGTACCTTCATATTGAAAACCTAATCGTAATGCTGCTCGAACTGATTTACTATTCAATGCATTACAGGACCATTGTATTCGTCTATAATCAAGTATAGCAAATGCATATTGTAATAATAAAAAAATTGCTTCAGTAGCTTGTCGAGTTCGTACTAATTGCTGACTGAAATTGATACTTCCAATTTCAATTGTACCATGTTCTTCATTAATTCTTAAATAACTTAGAAATCCAACAGCAATATCATTCACTAAAACATAATAGAATACAGAATTACTACTAGGTAATTCTATTGAATGTATGAATTCTTTGAATTCATCTAATGTTTCAAATGGTCCATATGGTAAATAAGTAAGATGAGTTTGTTCAGTTGGTTTAAATGCATCATAAAGTTGTTGAATAATATTGGAATCAGTTTTTGAATTAAGTAATTCAAGTCGACAATATTGACCTTGAAGTGTATGATATTTTGGATTAGTAAGTGGATGAGGACAAAGTGTCCAATTCAAAACAAAATCACCAATAGGTTGATCAATTGACGAAGTAATAGTTGAAAGTGATGATATTGTGTCATATTAATATTATTTAAGAAAAAATGACAAGAATAACGAGAAATTAACAAGTATTGTTTTATCTTTTGTATATCTGTATTTGATAACAATTTCAACCAAACACAAATTAATTTCAAATGTTGGCATTAGTCTAAGGTGCGCATAATGCAAAATTACAGCAAATTTTTTTTTTGGTTTTTTACCCATGATTGGATAGAGCTCGTCGAGCTGAGTAAGAATACATCTGTTTTAATAGGGGTGTGGGTATGGGTGTGGGTGGGTGGGTGTGGGTGTGAGTGGGTGGGTATGGGTGTGAGGTGTGGGTGTAGGTGTGGATGTGAATGTGGGTGTGGGTGTGGGTGTACTCTCTATTCTTCCACACCCACCCACACCCACACCCACACTCACACCCCCACACCCACACCCACACCCACACCCCACCCACACCCACACCCACACCCTCGATTCAGAAACTTTTTGAACGCACCATGTAAAGAATGCTAGAAAATTTCAAGCTCTATTAAAATATATAATTACGGTTTTCAAAGGGTAACTCTATAGTGCTGAAAAATTGTGAAAACGAATTAGTTTTGATGACAGTAAAACAAATCAAGTCAGTGGAAATCTCGACATGAGGGTGCCTTCATTGTACTTAATTTGTTTTTGCTAATGCATAAGTGCAAATGAAAATGCATGCATAGCGGGAGATAGAAAACACTCCACGGTCTTTCAAAATATGTAATTAGCTTCAAAAAAATATGCTCTTATGGTAACGATTTAACTGAAATACACACTGTAGCTATTTTTTCCAGAGGTATGTGTATATACGTTGAGATGTTCCTAAAAAACGACTTGAATCTCCATACTTTTCATGAGTAAAAAGATTTTAATTATTACCTCAGGCCATTTTGATGACGTTACGTCTAACTAGCCTATTAAAATTGAAACTTGGCGGATTCACCCGCATGTAATATTCAATATTAGCATAACAAATCAAATCGAATGACATAGGCGTCATCAAAAAAAATATTTGTCATCGACATTCGATTCTGCTTTCTCTCTGAGTTAGTAGAGATGATTTCTTTTGAGTGTCCTCTCGAATCAAATTTCAACGACAAGTATTTTTTTAGTGAAGTCTATGCCATTCGATCCAATTTCTTATGCTAATATTGAGTATTACACAAGGAGAAACAAACTGATTTCTAGTGGTAGAAATCAGTTTGAAATCAAAAAAATCAATATTAAAGCAAAGAAATCAATAGAAATCAACAGCAATTAATAGAAATCAACATAAATCAATAGAAATCAACATAAATCAATAGAAATCAAGCAAATCAGTTTGTTCCTCCTTGGTATTAAATGCATTTTATTTCAAAACGAAATCTTGATAGTCAAAATTTCCAAGTATGTGCTCATTTTTGTGTACTCAAAAAGTGAGTACACTCTAGAATCGGTCAGTATGTCCTTCCGTCCGTTTACACGATAACTTTTGAAAGGAGAGTCCGATTGCGATGAAATTTTCTACACACATTAGTCTCAACAACATCTCGGTCGATTTCGAAGATGAGAAGGATTGACCGAGCCGTTGCTGAGTTATTGGAAAAATAGTCATTTTTCCCTATGCCTTCCTATGTGAGAATCGACCTATCCCCGCTTTCGTAAAAAACTTTTCCTATTATAGTCAAATAAAACCCCAACTATTATACACCATTCGATAGAAAATTTCACGAGCTACAAAATGGTATATAAAACATAAAGAAATAAGAAGACTAACTCACCTATTGCAAGGGTAATTAAACGGGAATTGGTTCTGTTTGTGTCCACACTCTAATTGATCGACAATTAGAGCTCTGTCTTTCGATCATAGAGATGACAGTTCGAGGTTTTTTGAGTCGGAGAACTCCAATCTAAGCTCCGTTTGCCTCGAACTCCTATTGGTTGAGCAGTAACCAATAGAAATCAAGTTATCGGAAAAACGACTTTTCTAGGGTAAATCAAGGCGAAGAGTTCAAATCTGAGCTCTATTCATCTTTAAATCCTAGTGGTTGAGCAGTAACCAATAGAAATCAACTGTTTATAGAAAAGGTTTGCCAGGATAATTTTTATGCCCACACATTCTAGGATGACTAATCAGTCTCATTCACTTTTTGACGTACACATAACTCTCGGATTTAAATCAGAGGTTTCCACATTTTTTATTATCGCATTCTTAATATCGAAAAAGTTGGTTTGCGAAATAAGGGATCCTTATTTTTTCTTATTGAATACGCTATCTTTTTCCGTTGGTATGTTGATTGTAATTCAATGACAATTACTTTTTTCATCACTCATGCAATAGCACTTGATAGGTTTGCAAGTGCTTAGAAAGCCTTTTCATGATTCTATTAGTATTTTGAGAGGACATAGCTCATTTCAGACCATAAAAATGATTAATTCAGATTTTCTACACGCAGAATTCCAAAACACTAGTTTTGGAATTTTAAAACGACAACAAAGGCGGATATTTCGTGTAGTATTCAAATCTTTATTCATTTTTGCATGTTTTCAAAAAACTTATTCTTTTGAGTTTTTTTTGGCGAAAATCAATTTTTAAACCTCTAAGATTGCAGTTGTCTTATATAACTCGACAGACGCTACCCATCTAAAAACAGGAATAATTTTCTACTTAAATTTCGACTTTTCTAGACCTTGCTCTTGAGAATAGATTGAAAAAGTGCAGGGTAACTTATGAACGTTTAAAGATGTTTTTCAACTGGCTTATGCAGATTATTGAGAACTGAGAATGTATTGTATTCGTGAGAAAATCTTCATTTCTGGAAAAATGCGACAGAAATGTTGTTATTATATAGGAGAAAAAATTCTTTCGAACTTTGTTTATATAAGCAGCGATTCATGGATATACTGAAGGAAAGAATTTCTCTGATACTTAGATTTTACATGATGCATATTTCATTATGCTCAGAAAAACAAAATTTTCAGTCATTCTAATTCAATATAACTCTTCATGTACTTGAAGAGTCACTCACTTTTACCAATGTTGAGAAAGATCTGTTTTTTTTATTCAGAATTCTTTTAAACTTAATTTCGGCGAGAAATCATATTTTTTTAAATTAAAAAATGAAATAAAATATCTTAGATAATTTTTAGTAACACTTGACATTAACTTCTTCACATTCCAATATGTATATAATTACTCAATCTCCTAGGTGACCGGCCACTTCGTTGTACGACAGTTTGTCGCAGAACAATTTCTTTCGTTCTGTTCTTTGCATTCCTAGTAATTAGTGTTTTTTAAATACATCAAATTGATCAATTTAACTCATATTTATTTTGTGTATTATACATAAGAAAACGATGGCTAACGTGAAAACAAAAAACAAGAAAAAAGAAAAACGAAAGAAAAAAAATAATCTAAAGAAGTAATTTGAAGAACGTTGGATAAGTATCCAGGTCAAAGTCGATCAGTCGGATCCTATCGGATCCCATGAATTCCAATAGAATCCTTGGTGTCGAATTCCGCTAAGACGTTGTCGGATGTTGAAAAGTGTCGAAATCATCGCGATTCCTATTTGAACCTGGTCATTCCGACACTTTCCGACAGCTTCCTATCGGAATCCGATACGAAGGATTTCTACAATTTTCAATGAATTACTATCAGATCTGATAAAATCCATTAGTTTTACTGATAGAACCCGATGTTATTTGATAGTCCGATCCATCGTCCTGGGAATATTATCGTTGGATTAGATTATGTTGAAATTCATTAACTTAATGACAAAGCTAATTATTTTTTATTGACTTCAGTTCTATCAGAATTACATTTGGTTAAAAGCTTTTGTCGATCCGTTTTCCAAATTTAAGTCATACCTTTTAGAGCAATCAATTGTCTATCCTTGTTGTGCACATTTTTTAGAGTTTTCATTTGCTTTATTTTATTTCTATTAGTTATCCAAAAAAACACAGAATTAATGAACAGAATACAACCAGCAGAACGAAAAACACATGTTCTGTGACGAAATGTACTAGTGCCAATCTACTAGGACGGAATATTCGCACCGATACATTAGAACAGAAACGAAACTAGGATGGTAACCGAACCATAAAGTCCAGAACTTCAAATCATAACAACAACCTAGATTCTGTAGACTTCAAGACTTGAAAAAATTGACTATTTGGAAGAAAAAAACGTTGATACTCATAAAACCTTTATGACATAAGAACTTCACTGACTTCAACACTCTAGCTTCAAAAGACTTGCAGAATTAAGTGCATTACTATTTCGAAAACTTGGACTATCCAACACTGAAAAGCTTCCCAACCGAAACAGGTACGAAGAGTAGAACTTTCTTCATGATTTTAACATAAAGAGCTTTTTGATTTCAGAAATTATACAGATAGAAGCATTAAATTTAACAAATATAAAAGATTAATGATGTCACGACTCCGACTGACTTTATGACTCTGTCTTTAAAACACTTGAGCGCTTGAGATCATAACGACTATGACTGATTGTAAAACCCTGCATTTAAGTGACTTGATGGCATCAGAACGTCAAGACGAAGGTTGAGATTCACGACTCTGCTTTCAAGAAAGTGGAAGACGTGGAGAACCCGAAACTATAGCTGACTTCAGCTTTTTGCCTCACTTTAAGTAAAATGCGCAACGGATTTCTTAAAATCGAGTATATCTTGAATTGTTTTGTTAGGTAGCGGTCAAAAAACTATACAGTCAGTTCAAAAGTATTCGGGCTCTTGATACCATCCTCATCCTTCTTGAAAAACCATTTCGGTCAATTTACATGTAAATTGTATGAATTTTTCAAGATATGTTGGGACTGCAGTGGAAAGATTATGTTAAAATTTTTCGCCTAACATCGTTACTTTTGAGAGAGATAATTATTCATCAGTCAAGGATGAAAAATTACTGATTTGGCACCACAAAATTCTCTGTGGGCCTTCATTCTATATAATTCAATTTTTTTTTGTTTGAAACGGTTTGTCAGGATCTAGAACATGATAGAACCTTTTTCTTTCAATTCTTACTTTGTAACCTAGAGAAAAGTAATGAGAAATTCGATAACTCAAGAAACTTTTTAAGAATTGGGAAAATCTACCATTTCTCAGGGTTTTTTCAAGCTTCTGCACTCTAAAAAAAAAAGGAGTTTTACCGAACCCTCCAAAAAGGTTCCGTAGATGTTTAAAAGCTTCTAAATGCGTTCAAACGCTTAAATAAATGATAATCAAAATCTACGAAACCTTAAAAGGATCGGGTCGCGGGCACACCGCCCGAACCACCTTCTACGAAACCTTTTTTAAGTTCCGTAGGGCGAAAAAAGGTTTCGTAAGAAAATACGAAACTTTTATGGTTTCGCAATAGAGTTTTGAACGAAACCATAAGGTTCACTACGAAACCATAAAAGTTTCGTATTTTCTTACGAAACCTATTTTCGCCCTACGGAACTAAAAAAAGGTTTCGTAGAAGATGGTTCGGGCGGTGTGCCCGCGACCAGATCCTTTTAAGGTTTCGTAGATTTTGATTATCATTTATTTAAGCGTTTGAACGCATTTAGAAGCTTTTAAGCATCTACGGAACCTTTTTGGAGGGTTCGGTAAAACTCCTTTTTTTTTAGAGTGTGGGTTATTGAACTTTCAATCACTTTTCTCTGAGTTGAAAAGTAAGAATTTAAAGAAAAGAGTTCTGTCATGTCCTGGATGCTAGCATATTCTTACAAACGAAAAAAATTGAATATAGAACCAAGATTCGCTGAGAATTTTGAGTTATCATAGTAGTGATTTTTGCCTCGAACGTTCTCAATTGCTTTTGACGGTTCCCGATAAGTTTCTGAAAGCTTGAAAACCTTTTCTTGGAAACCTATAAAAGGTTTCATATAGTAATAAACTCGAAAACCTTTTATAGGATTCCGAGACAACGGATTTTGTTTTTAGAGTATACTCGTCACATTCATCGCATACTGTTGAAATTTCACTTGAGCGATTGTACAACGTCGGAAAACATATATCAAGCAAGTGTATATCGCATTACTACTTTCCAACTACTGTTTAAACTCTTCTCAACTGAATGATTAATAGAAAGTATTGCTGCATTCTAATTTTCATTTTTACTATGAATACTTGTTTATTTATGATTAATCGTTATCCGATCGTATCTGATCGCATGTCATTTACGTCAACTAGAAATGAAACAATAAAAATAATACATATCTACGATGATGCTGAAGGATGGATATCGCCATCACTCTATAATGAACTTAACTCCTATGTTTCAGCTCGTAATAATAATAGTGCTTATATTCACAAGACTTTTATTATTAATAATGAAAAAGTAGAAAATCTTCCATTAAATTATGATTACATTAACTTTATAGCAGATAATCAAGAAAAATTATATCCTTATTCATCATGGAAATGCTCTGAAACATCAAATACCGACATCCAAGAAGGTAATGAATATTGTATTTTAACAAATATTTACTATCGATCATCAACTAATCAATATTATTTTTTTCAAAATTCAACTGAAACAAATACAGAAAGGCGAAGAAATACATTTATGGCTTCTGATAATGTTTTTAATTTAAATTTAATTGATAATATTGCAATTATAAAAAGATTGGATCTTTCAGCTATTTTGAAACGACCAGTTTTAATTACTCATCCACCTGATGAAAATTATGCTCATGGTTTTCTTGAATCATGTGGTCCTCGATTTTGGGTATTAGCCGAATGTCAATCACATCCGTCTTATGTCGATCCAACTAAAATTCAAATTTATTATACATCAAAAATGTTCGATGGTTATCCACTAAATTGGAATAATTATATTCGACAATCTGATGGAACTTATCTACCAAGAAGAAGATGGGAACAAATGATTCAATCAATGTTTTCGATTTATCCATTATTAACATATAAATCATTTGATAAAAAAACTGTTATGTTTCAGTATATGTTACTAACAAGCTTGAGCAAAACTCGAACCTCAGTTTGGGGTCATCATTATGAACATAGACCAATGAAATCATATCCATTTCCAACTGTCAATTATCGTCGAGCTTATTTAGCTTATTCGGAATGGATATTGAATAATTTCAATCTGAAATCAAAATTTCAATTAACATCAATTCAAGAAGAATTACAAAATAAAAAAATATCTGAACAAATTCCTCTTTGTAATCAAACATGTCCTATTCAACAAAAAATAAATTCATCATCGAATGAATTTACTGGTGAATGGATTGTTGTTCTAAATCGTGCCGATGTTGGTCGTCGTGAAATGATAAATGCTGATGAATTAGTTGCTGCTTTGTTAAAAGCATTTCCTGATCATTCGAATCCATATTTACGAGTTTGGCCAAAACAATTTAATTTTAATGATAATCTCTATGAAACAGCACGAATGGCGCGATCAATACGTTTATTAATTGGTGTACATGGAGCAGGTTTATCGAATACTTTATTTATGAGACCAGGTACAATTCTTTATGAAGTAAATCCATATGGTTGTCGTCATTTATCATTTAACTTTCGTCGTTGGGCTGAAGTATTTAATCTTCAACATTCTTTATGGATTCCATCAGAAGGCAATAATGGAAGGACAGATAACAATTGTAAGCGTGAATCATCGACAATATTAAATGTAAAAGAAATCATTAATGAAGTGGAAGGTTTGATTAAAGATGAAGCTGCATATCGAAGTGGTTATATAAAACGAGCATTAAACATAATGAATGATATGTCAGTCGTCGATCATCCACCATCAAATTTCGAAAAAATTTTCTAGAATTAGTAGTTTGTTTTTTTTCTCTGTTTTAAATTATTTAATCTACGAGATCTAGACTATGCATTGTAGCATTATTCTATATCTCGTATAATAATATATATTTTATGCAATAAAACAAAACTCAATGTCTTCTGAATGAACAAAATTATTTTCTAAATTATCCAACTGTTTGATAACATTATCAATCTATCAGATGAATCAAATAAAAAAAATGAACATAATTCTTTAGTTTAACTCTGTAACACAAAAATACGTAGTATTTTTTATTTGAAATAAAATATATGATCTTTCATATAACATTCTACGTAATAAAACGGTTTTATAATGTTGAAAATTAGATATTCTTAGGCTAGAAAAGCGCAAAAGCATCATTGACATCCAAAATTATATAATTACATTGTTTTGGTTCGAAGACTTTACATTTGTCTCTGCATGCTTCAGTTATGCATGTTGTATCAACAAATGATCGAAGAAAAACTGGTTTATAACGAAAACCAGAGCAACATGAACAAACACATGATAATTCACTAGTTGGAGTTGTGGGAGTATGGGATGTGGGTGTGTATACAATTGAATTTTCATTTAATAGCACAAGCTAACGTACGACCGGTTTCGATCTTGTTTGAGGGTCCTCATCAGGTACGTTCGGCTATTTTCTAAGTTGGAGGCGAATACTTGTGGCGCAAGGGTTTCTGCGGTAAATGTTTTTTTGATACTCTTATATTCTTATCGATGCTTGCATCTACAGCTGTGTATGTTCAGGCTCTTGTACGAGTATTCTATGATCACCTTTTATGCTTTTTCCTTGAGAGCCTTTATGGTTTTTATGGGAGTAGAAGTATCTGTGAGATGAGCATGCATCTGTCTGTTGTGCCTATATGTTTTTGCAATGGTTTTCCTATCAGTTTATGTATGTTGTCCTT